CCATATCCGTTACAGGCGGGAGATGGTCTGAATACGGCTCCTAGTGGTTAAAGACACCCATGACACGTTTTATATGAGCTTGGCTCATATTTATGAGCTCTTGGGAAATTGGATGAGTAACTCTTCTCTTTCCCTAGAATTATCCATTGCAATCTTCCTTTTTTTCTCTTTTTTTTAAAATTTGATTTTTCATCCTTGCTAGAAAGCCTGGACTTTCTCTGTAATTAGAATAACAGCTGTGAGAAAAAGGATGCAAACACAGGAAGATGAATAGTGCCCTGACTCCCAGCTTTCACAAGATATTTTAAGCAACTCATTTTGCCTTTCCCTATGTCTTCCCCATTTGTTCACTGCTGTGCATGTTGCATGTTGGAATTTCTGTCACAGAAAATGATCCCATTGTGACTGAAGCAATAAAATTCTGAAATGAAAAGCTAATCCTGCCCCAAATTGCTTTTGAGGTGTAAGACATGAAACAACAGATGGGTACAGTCACGGAGGGGAATTTAAGGCAATGGTGAAGCAATCCTGATGAGTGTGATAGGCATCCAATACAGGGTATGAGCTGTTGCCAAGGCTTCTCTATTGTTGCAAAAGAAATTTTAATGAAGGATTTGAGAAAAGCTAATGAGAGAGCTCTGTAAATATTTTTGTAAGCCCAAAGCATGAGAGAAAGCATGAAATTGATTGTTTGAACATCTAACAGTAACTAATTTGTGTAGTAAGTATGATACCCATTAATTCGTAATGGAGGTTATGAAGGTTAATTCATGACCATGTCTAAGTTGTTTAAATACCATTGAAGAGTATTGTTAAATGAATCAGGCCAGGGAAAATTCTTAAAATCATTTTTTAAAAAGGCAGCATGATTTTAGCCAGGCAATGAGTGCAGAAATTGGAAGCTGCTAGGCCATAACCTTTTGATATCAGCAAAGGAAATCATTAAGACGAAAATTGCCAAAGGGATTTTTTAGCAATTGCAGCCTCTGCTGTATCAGATTGGGTTTTATTTTCATTTTCAGTGGCTAAAATACTGGTGGCTGCTCTGACTTCAGTACAGTGTGTGTTGGTTTCAGTAAAAGTAGTAGTAGTAGTAGAAGTAAAAGATATCTCACTGGGGTTGAGAGAACTATTTATGTGTGTGGCATGAAAGATCTAAAATACACAGCAAGACTTAGAACCAGCACGTTCCTGTCAGAGCAGTAAACCCATCTCAGCACATGTGAGGAACTCTAATGAAGGAAGCATCATAGCTAAACCCACATAAAATTTGGTTTTGAAACTATTATTTGGAACAGAAAATAACTGTCAAAGAACTCCAACTTTTAATCTCATAAAACTCCTCCGAGGCAATTCCTGGCATGGTCCACTGATCCTGAACACTCTTCATCTGCTGTCTGTAGTGAAGACAACTGGGAGAACCACTCTGAAAAAGGCTTTGTATGAAGTTACAGTTATTTGTGACGTGTAACAGCAGCTTGAATACTTTTCCCAGAAAACAGACCCTCCAGGTTTTGTCTCGTTTTGAATTACTGCAAAGATTTGTCTATTACTATTTCTTAAACTTGTGAGATTTTCTCTGTTCTAGTTTAAAGAGTTGAATTTGAGATTGTCAAATCTTATCTCTTTCAAAAAGCCTTTAGAAAAATCTTTCTAATGTGATTTGTGCAAGATAATTCAGGCCTGAGCAGATGTGACCCCTCTGTGCCCTATTCCTGCCTAGACAGAAGCAGTTGCCTGCAGCTGTGTCCATCTTGCCCTCAAAGGATTATTAAAGTGCCACTTGACACACTAAATGTATTTGAATGAATATTTTCTGTCATTACCAATTGAAATGACTCCTGCCTTCTCCCCATGACCTTTGGAGCTGGAGCCCATAGAACAGCATTCTTCCTCTTCCAGACAATTATGTGTCTGATCACCCTACACCAAAATGGAAGTTTATGACATGGGAAGTATTTCCCTGTCCTTGAAGGGAGGTGGTGGGTTACATGATCTATGTAAGCTGATGTTAAATTAATTTAACAAGTCCTGAGCTCCAGTTTCAGGCAAGCTCAGACAGGAGCTCACTCTGTGGCTGTGGACACATATGTTGGGGTATTTTATCAAGTCAATTTTTAAGTCGCTGAAACCTGAAACAGGATTGCTGAGTCTCAGTGAAAATCAAATAGGCAGTTTTCCAGGGGAATCTGAGACTAGGCCTACCAAGAGTTAAGTGGCCGTATGTTGGGGGTTGGAGTCTCCTTTTCTTCTCTGCCTGTGGAATTTTTTCCCATTGACATGCTAAGAAGCACTGGTCCTTGAGACGGGGAAGGGGGAGGGGGAACCTCCCTGTTTTTTTTTTTTTTGGAGTTTTCTCTCGGAGGGAGAGGAGGGGGAGGGAACACCGCGAGATTAGAAGCGGGAAAAGGAGGGTGAGGGCGGGCAGTTGTTCGCTCGCTCTCTTGCTCGCTCTTGGCTCTCAGAGGAGGAAGGCGCTGCAATCCCCCCCGCCATCCCAACGCCGGGAGCTGCCTCTTCTGGTATTGGACCCCGCAGCCCTGCTAGGACGCTCTCCTGCTTCAGCTTGCTATCTCCAAGCATCCTGTTGGAGCACCTGGACCAACACTGCTCCGAGATTGATGAACAGAATCTCTCCTCCACTCTTCCCATCCGGGACACAGCCACCATCAGCCCCAGCACTCCTGCAGCTGCACGGGATCATCGCATCTGCCCCTGTCCACCAGGAACCTGCCAGAGCTCACTGCAAAGTGGGACGGTAACTGCAGCAAAGGGAAAAGTGCCCATGGCCAAGTGAACTGTTACTGGGATCCTGTCCTGATTGTTGTTAATTTCATAGTTGTTGTTTAGTTTGCCTTGTTAGATATACTAGTAAAGAACTGTTATTCCCATCCCCATATCTTTGCCTGAGAGCCCCTTAATTTCAAAATTATACTAATTCAGAGGGAGGGATTTACTTTTTCCATTTCAAGGGAAGGCCCTGTTTTCCTTAGAAGACACCTATCTTTTCAAACCAGGATAGATTTTGGCGCCCAACATCAGGGCCTGAGGGCATCGAAAGGAAAGGGTGAAAACGGAATAACAGTTCTTGAGTGACCTAATTTTTTGTGTTAGGTGGCACCATGTGGTATAGCTTACCGTGGTTCGGGTTGCACGTGGTCACAGCTATATCTCTCCCATTTGCATCCGTTTTTCTAAACATGGGTCCTATAACTAAGGTTACTGTAGCTGTTATCCAGTTCATTTTGTGGGTTGATATGGTGTGGAATTCATGGATTTTTAACTTCCTCTGGAAGGCAGATACATGGGTTCAGAGCTATCATATACTAACTGTATGTTTTTGGGGTTACTTCAATAATGGTACTTACTGTGAAGAAATGACAGCAGGGGAAATTTTCTCCCAACCCTTCATCCAGTTTTTTAGGTCCATCCCACCAGTTTTCGAAGGGTTCAAATCCTCTCTAAATGCTAATGATATTATACTGTGGCTGGTGTTGCTGATAGGCCTGTTCTATTTAGCATTCAGAGATAATGGGAGATTAACTTGGATAACCACCCTGATACCTACCCCAGAAAATAGAGAAGCTCCCCCAGAGCCAGACCCTGCTCCAGAGCCAGACCCTGCCCCAGAACCTGACCCTGCACCACAGCCCACCTCAGAAACGAACCACCCAGAGCAGGTAGGGATTAGAGTGAAGGAGATGCATGAGATGGGCCAGACGCTGAAGGAGTACATCTCCCCACCTAGTGAGAAAGCCTCCCCCTGCCTTAAAGAGGAAGAGTCTGATGGTCCTGCAGTGGAACCCACAGGTGTTACAACCATCCAGGTTCCAGCTGAACCACAAGGGCCCTCACAACCAGCAGGAGAGCCAGAGGTTGATTTCATCACCGAGTCCCTGTGGTGTGAAAGTCTTTGTGATCTGCAAAAAGACATTGTACGAAGGGGGCATGAGGCTTATACAACCTGGTTACTGCGGGTCTGGTACCTTATAGGTACTGATGTGCAACTGGATGGTACTGAGGCAAGGAATTTGGGACCCTTGACCCAGGACTCAGGTCTGAATCAGATATTTATAAGGGAGCCAGGGCCCCTTTCCCTCTGGGAGCGGTTGTTAATGAGTGGTTTGTCCACAGAGAGAGGATGCAGGAGCATCATCATAGAATGCACTGGGAGACCCTTGAGGAAGGGATCCAACAGCTGAGAGAAGTGGCCGTGCTGGAGGTGCTCTTTGGGAGGGATGGACAGCATGATAATGACCCTGACAAGGTCAGGTGTACAAGGCAGATGTTGTGGAATCTGGCACACCTGGGGCCATCTGAATACACCACCTTCATTGCAATAATTTATGCTAATAACAACCAAGAGACAGTGGATTCTGTCACCAAAAAGCTTAGAAATTATGACATTATGATCAATGGCACGGTGCATGCCTATGTCTCTGCCATGGTTAAGGAACTCAAAGAGGAGATGAGGGAGATGATGAAGGAGCTGAGGAGGTACATTTCCCTTATGGCACCTGTGCAAGTCACAGGCCCCAAAGTCATAGCCCAACGTCCCCCAGCTAGGAAGAGAAGGTACACCCCACGAGCTGACCTGTGGTTCTTTCTGCGTGACCATGGGGAAGACATGAGAAGGTGGGATGGGAAACCCACTTCTGTCCTGGCAGCACGGGTGCGCCAACTCAGGGAGGGGAACGCTAACTGAGGGAGTTCTACAATGTGAAAATAGCCTCAACTTCCCATGACCAAGGTGTTGGGTATTATAGAAGGGAGGATGATCTGTCAGATCCCCCTGAAGGAACTTCTAGTATGTATGTCCAGGAAGGAAATAATAACCAGGATCAGAGAGGCCCTGCCTCTAGCCAGGGAGAGGCACAGGAAAACCGGATCTTTTGAACAGTGTGGATCCGATGGCCTGGCACATCAGAGCCACAAAAACATAGAGTGTTAGTTGATACTGGTTCACAGTGTACATTAATACCATTGGGACGTGGGGGAAGAACCTGTTTCAATTGCTGGGGTTACAGGAGGATCTCAGGAATTGACTTTGCTGGAGGCTGAGGTGAGTCTGACTGGGAAAGAGTGGCAGAAACATCCAATTGTGACTGGCCCAGAGGCACCATGTATCCTAAGCATAAACTTCCTCAGGAACGGCTATTACAAAGACCCAAAGGGACTCAGGTGGGCTTTTGGAATAGCTGCTGTGGCAGCAGAGGGCATTAAGCAGATGAACACCCTGCCTGGACTGTCAGAGAACCCATCTGCAGTGGGACTCCTCAGGGTGAAAGAGCAACAGGTGCCAATTGCTACCTCAACAGTGCACTGCCGGCAGTACTGGAAGAATCGAGATGCCGTGATCCCCATCCACAAGATGATCCGTGAGCTGGAGAGCCAAGGGGTGGTCAGCAAAACCCACTCACCCTTCAACAGCCCCATCTGGCTTGTGCACAAGTCTGACAGAGAATGGAGATTAACCGTGGACTATCGGGCATTGAATGAGGTGACTCCACCGCTGAGTGCTGCTGTGCTGGACATGCTGGAACTGCAGTACGAGCTGGAGTCCAAGGCAGCAAAGTGGTACGCCACCATTGACATCGCCAATGCATTCTTCTCCATTCCTCTGGCAGCAGAGTGCAGGCCCCCGTTTGCTTTCACCTGGAGGGGCATGCAGTATACCTGGAACTGACTGCCTCAGGGGTGGAAACACAGTCCCACCATCTGCCATGGACTTATCCAGGCTGCACTAGAAAAGGGTGAAGTTCCAGAACACCTGCAATACATCAATGACATCATTGTGTGGGGGAAAATGGCAATGGAATTATTTGAGAAAGGAGAGAAGATCATCCAGATTCTGCTGGAAGTCGGCTTCGCCATTGAGAAAAGCAAAGTCAAAGGTCCTGCCTGAGAGATCCAGTTCCTGGGAGTAAAGTGGCAAGATGGACGGTGTCAGGTTCCCACTGAGGTTATCAATAAGATCACAGCAATATCTCCACTGACCAGGAAGAAGGAAACACAAGCTTTCCTAGATGCTATAGGCTTTTGGAGAATGCACATTCCTGAGTACAGCCAGATTGTGAGCCGTATCTACCTGGTCACCTGCAAGAAGAACGATTTCCACTGGGGCCCTGAGCAGCAGCAAGCCTTTGCCCAGATCAAGCAGGAGATGGCTCATGCAGTAGCCCTTGGCCCAGTCAGGACAGGACCAGAGGTGAGGAATGTGCTCTACTCTGCAGCTGGGAGCAAGAGTTTGTCCTGGAGCCTTTGGCAGAGAGACATGAGGCCGACCACTGGGATTCTGGAGCCAAAGTTATAGAGGGTCCGAGGCCAACTATATGCCAATGGAGAGGGAGATCTTGGCTGCCTGTGAAGGAGTTCAAGCTGCCTCAGAGGTGGTTGGCACAGAAGCACAACTCCTCCTGGCACCCCGACTACCAGTGCTGGGGGGGATGTTTAAATGAAAGGCTCCCTCTACTCACCACGCCACCGACCCCACAGGCAGCAAGTGGATTGCCCTCATCACACAGCGCACCCGTATTGGAAACCCAAATCACCCTGGGATTTTGGAGATAATTACCAACTGGCCAGAAGGTGAAAACTTTGGTCTCACTGACGAAGAGGAGCAGGAACAATTGACCCAAGCTGAAGAAGCCCCACTGTATGACCAACTGCCAGCAGTCGAAGCATGCTATGCTCTTTTCACCGATGGTTCCTACCACATCGTGGGGATGGACGAGAAGTGGAAAGCAGCCGTGTGGAGCTTATGGAACACTGCGAGATTAGAAGCAGGTAAAGGAGGGTGGGGGGCAGTTGCTCTCTCGCTCGCTCTTGGCTCTCAGAGGAGGAAGGCGCTGCAATCCTCCCCCGCCATCCCAACGCTGGGAGCTGCTTCTTCTGGTATTGGACCCCGCAGCCCTGCTAGGACGCTCTCCTGCTTCAGCTTGCTAAATCCAAGCATCCTGTTGGAGCACCTGGACCAACACTGCTCCGAGATTGATGAACAGAGTCTCTCCTCCACTCTTCCCATCCGGGACACAGCCACCATCAGCCCCAGCACTCCTGCAGCTGCACGGGATCATCGCATCTGCCCCTGTCCACCAGGAACCTGCCAGCGCTCACTGCAAAGTGGGACGGTAACTGCAGCAAAGGGAAAAGTGCCCATGGCCAAGTGAACTGTTACTGGGATCCTGTCCTGATTGTTGTTAATTTCATAGTTGTTGTTTAGTTTGCCTTGTTAATATATATATTAGTAAAGAACTGTTATTCCTATCCCCATATCTTTGCCTGAGAGCCCCTTAATTTCAAAATGATACTAATTCAGAGGGAGGGATTTACTTTCTCCATTTCAAGGGAAGGCCCTGTTTTCCCTAGCAGACACCTGTCTTTTCAAACCAGGACACCATAGACAAAAAGACCTGTGATTTACTCAGCTAGAAGACATTGCACATGAAAACGGAAGGTAAAAGGAGTACTTTGTGGTGGGGGAAATCCGAGAGCTCAGTTATAGGAAATGGTTCATTCCAAGTAGATCCTTTGGAGAAAACAGGACTTTGATTTCACACACTAGCAGGAAAGAATAATTGTAGGTTTTTCTCCTCTGTTATTAGCAGCAGAAGAGAAGGGATGGGAAGTCCACAGTTCAAGTGCATTTTATCTGATTTCTGTTTTGTAGAGAAAGGGTAAATAATTTTCCCTGAAGTTTCCTCAGAGATGTCCTCAGCTGCCAGAAACCACGATGCCTGTACATGTCCAATTTATATTGGCTGAAACCACAGTCAGAGAGGCAGCCTTTCTGAAAATTTCTTTTAAACTACTTCAAACTCAATATATTAAAACATAGTCAAAAACCGTAGGTACTTTTGAAATTCCTTGCTTCCATTTAGGATGTGCACTCCATACAAAGCATAAAAGAAGAAAGTACACTCTTCATCTGTGCCTGAAAGATCTCCTTGTTTATGAAATTTGAAGAGCACTAGCTGAATAAAATATAACAGAGGTAATTACCTCTGTACATCTAGTTCAGTCTTTTACCTGCCCAGTTCACACTGTTTGTTTGCTTTGAACAGATGGAGAAAGGTAAATAAGCTGGATAAAATAAATCCTGTGGAGCTACTGTACCTGCTTTATCTGCACAGATGAGAAACAAAGAAGGCAGCTCAGGTCCTGAATGTCAAGGCATGATGGCAACCAACACTGTTTGCCTGACAGAGAAGAAAGCTGCACACTGCTTTTTCCCTTGTGATATTACAGACATGAGACGTGGTGAAGAGAGGTGCAAATAGAACTGTTTAATTTCTAAACCAGAGGAACCAAGTAACAGCATTACTGTGCATAATACAGAAAATGCTGCTGGTACTACCCAAAACGAATGGGCTGGCAGGGAAGGAAAATCCAGCTTGTTAGTTTTTGTTCATCTGAACTATAAACTTAGACCCGACCTCTCAGGCAGAGTCATTTGCCAGTCTTATTAATGGTTAGCAGTCAAAACAAAATGTTGAAAAAGCCCTCCATAATCATCTTCTTAGTCATTCCAATGGCAGACTAAGCACTGAATGCATGAGCATAGGATTTTTTCTTCCTCAATTGTAGCTGGAAAAATGCAGACATGCAAATGTTTCTTGAGAAACTTGCAATTTCCCCATATGTATGTATTATTTATTCTTGCGTCTCTGCACCCTTATTAGAACAACTAATCTGAGATTTAGCATATCAATCTTCAGGTACCATCTGAAGTATCCAAGCTGAAATCCAGTCTAAGCTCCCTCTGTTCTAGGTTGTCTCATCTCAATCAAATGTCAGTTTGAATGCTGGTCTAAGTTGCTCCACAGGTGTTACAAGCAGGAAGTACACTTTCAAAACTTAGCAGTCATCTTTATATCTATAGGCCTGAAGCATGACAGGCTGGAGAGAGCACTTGCTTTGGCCTGCTAACATAAAAAAACTACTTGGCAGTGAAACTCAGAAATTCAAATGCTGTGGAACACCCTTACCTGTCACCAGCTTTTGCATAGTTGATTACTTGTTGGTAGTCTTGGAAGATAACTGTTATCTGGATACAGGGTAACAACTGTTTTCTTAAACCACATTGGCCCACACCACCAGTCAAAAGTGGAACTTTGTTTACAGTTCCATGATCTGCATCCAGGATGTTTGCACACCCTTACAAAGGCAGGCTCCTTCCAGGAAGAGCCTGCATGTTTACAGGGTGCCACAAACAGCTCTCCTATCTGTCATGCAATGCATCAATAGCATACATCTTTTCCCCTCTCTTTCCCAGGAAATTCATTACCATAGAATCACAGAAGACTTTGGGTTGAAAGGGACTGTAAAGATGATCTTCCAACCCCTGCCATGGGGAAGGACACTTTCCACTAGACCAGGTTGCTCAGAGCTTCCTCCAACCTGGCCTTGAACACTTCCAGAGATGGGGCATCCACAGCTGCTCTGAGCAACCTGTGCCAATGCCTCACCACCCTCACAGTAAAGAGTTTCTTCCTAATATCTAATTGCAAATCCACTGTGACATTCTTTAGTTGGCATTGCAAATTCCTTAGCTGTCATTGGGCCTGTAACTGTTCTGCAGCTGCTGAGGTTTGTGAGCTTTGTTTCTGTTTGAAACATTCAAATCAGGATTCATCAACACATGCAAGTTAAACTCTGCACAGTACTCAACAATAAATGTGTGCAGCCTTTTTTCAAGCTTGTACTTTGCTTATTACTTTGAGTGCTACCAAAAGTAATTTTTTTCTACTTCTGGGAAAAAAAGTGGACACTAGTGAGAGCAGAGGATTAAAACTTAAAAACAAAAAAGCTGCAGTGGAGGAAAGTAGATTGCAATGACTCCTGCTCACCTTTGGATGTGAAACCAATCAGTCCTTCAGTTTGCAATTATTCTGGTTTTCCAGCTTCTAGTACTGCCTAGCTACTGGGTTCTTGTTTTTCTTGACCTGTTGAGAAATCATCTGTGTTAAACATATCAAGCTTGTATTTATTCACCAGAAAAATCAGCAATGAAAGCAAAGAACTGAAACTGACAATTGAAAGAATTTAAATTGACAACGAAAGTTTTATTGTTTCAGTCTGCAGTACTGGATTTGACTTTGGCTGGCTGACAAACGCCACCCAGGT